TGTGTTACATGACGTTTGTTTCAGTTGTTGCATACGACAGAAGGTTGCGTGATGTTTCTCTTTTAATGTAATCATTTCTAGTTTTCTACCATTGTCTTGGAAGCGGTGGTTGTAAAAGCATTTTGGTTGTTAAATTCATTTTAGGTCCATTTCCAGCTCCTATTTAGAGGATATTAAAAAGCCATACATGTTCTGAAACCATACATAAACTAGAGACCGTATTCAGTCATACTCACCTCAGACACACTTATATATAATTATTAAATCTTTTTCAGACTGTATTATTATGCCATGCAAACACAAACAAGCTGGTCAGCTGACGTGTGTCTCTGATTTTCCGGTTTCCCTCTCCTCTGCCCCGCCAGGTTCAGTGAAGTATCTGGAGTGCTCAGCTTTGACGCAGCGCGGCCTTAAGACGGTGTTTGACGAAGCCATCAGGGCGGTCCTGTGCCCCCCGCCGGTCAAGAAGAGGAAGAGGAAGTGCAGAATATTGTAATGGAGAACCACAGGGAGTAGAAAATACGGTTGCAGTCAGAACTCGCCTACTCAGAGGGAAGAGGATGATGGCTGGGTTCCCAAATATCTAATCACCCCCTGTGTCCTTGCTTACATAGAAGCTCTGGTAGATCAGACTTCCATCTGAAAGAACTTCACAGAGTTAAGCAGCGCAGGTTTTCTGTCTGATCTCGTGTCTGGTTGCTTACATCTGTGTAGTCCTTTCAGATCGACAGGAATGAAGTGACTTTGCGAAGGCCTTGGGGAATGTGAGGGTTTGGGGTGGGGTGGTTGATTTGTGATCTCGGGTGATGAGGGAGGATTTTACAAAAACAAACATTCGTGTTATTTTTCTCAGACATTGTGAAGAAACACTACTTGAACGCGATTTTATCACAAAATTACCTTAGATCTAACTCCATAAGAGAAGGAGGTCCTGCACTGCACTCTTTCCCCTACACACTAAGAGATTCCTGCTGCCTTGATGAAATTTTACTTTACGAAAAAAATTTTTTTAGAAGCTCTAATTTCTCCTTTTTTCATTGTCAGTCTCTTGTCAGCTGTTGTTGACGGACCGTTTTGTTTACATGTGTCATCTGACTAGACTGAGGTGTTGCCAAAACTCAGTCCGCGGTCATCGCTTTGTAGTACATCCATGAACACTAAAATGTTTAATTTTGTTTTAATGTGTACAGGATACCATCATGCAGTCATGTTGAAACGGTTTAACTCTTAAATGACGTAACAATTGTCGTAGCAGCTGCTAAGAGAAGTAATAATTACTTTAAAACAGTCTCTGCTAGATATTTAACAGGTAATTATCTCGTTTTGTTCCTAAACCCTTTCTAGTTGAATCCATGTATGTGTTAAGTGAACACACAGTATTTTATGACTGACAGTCGGGCATGTGAAGGTGCGGTGCAGCCAATGCTGTGCTGGTTCATTCTCAGTGTATCTGTAAAAGTTATATCATTTCATTCTCACTCAATGTATGCTCAGTAAGTGCTTTGGATAGTCAGGCTTTTATTCTCAGTATATGATGTTCATATTGCTATCATGATGGTGCGTAACCATATCCTTTTGACCCCATCTATTACTGTGTTTTATGAAGTCTGTGAGCCAGTGTGTTAGCACTCGAAGGTTGCAACAACTGATTTTAACGTCTCTGTTGTATAATATGACCATAAGAAGTAACATTTCAGCAAATGCATTTTATTTTGAAATGAGCAATGATCAAATTGCATGGTTGCCAGGGGAACCGCTGTAAATCTGGACTCATTTGATCAGTGTTTCAATAGCGCAGTGGAAGTGGACACTTAGATTAATTTCTTGCTAAATGGTTTCATTTCCACATAGTAATATGCTGATTTCTTTTTTTTTAAGCAAATAAACTCATTAAAAAAGCTTTTTTGAATTTTATATCTTTCTTAAACTGTTTGGGGAACGTATACACTAATGATCTTCCTTTCATTTTTGTTTAGTGTATAAAATGTAATGTCTATAAAATCTAAAAATAGTGAAAATTTTCCATCACTGTGTCTTCAAAGTGCTTGTTTTCATCTGACCAACAGGATAAAATGCAAAGACGGAAGCAAATCCTCCCATTTGAAAATCTTGAACCAGCTAATGTGTTTTTAGTGACACAACATTTTGGATAGAAACGTCAGTTGGTCAACCACTTCCTGTCGCACCACCAGCAGGATTTGTAAAACAATTCAATGACAAAAAACAAAAAACTTGAGACGTTCCCATGTAAGTTGTGTTTGGTGCTCATTAGTGAATGTTAGCATGCAAACACGCTACGATGGTGAACATGGTCAACATAACTGATCAACATCAGCGTGTTGGTGTTAGCATTTAGCTCAAAGCTTCGCCGTGCCTAAGAACAGCCTCACAGAGTTGCTAGCACTTCTGTAATCGCTGTTAACTTACTTAAACAAAGTGATTATTTTCTGTTGATTGACTGCAATTAATCAACTGTTACAACATATACTGCTTTAAGGCAAGATTGCCTTTTAGGGTGGATAAACTAAAGTAAAATCCATTTCATATATTTCATATAATTTTCTGTCCTTTCTTCTATTGCCTTGATCTTGATTAGCTTGTGTACAGTACAGGCCAGGTTGAAATACATGGCCTCTTCATGGTAGGCTGGCTTTGGCTTTCCATTGGTCAAATACCAGCTGAGCCGACACTGCATCTTCAACGCCCATTCCTGTTAAAAAACAAGTCACAGTTACTCTTAATACCATGAAGGAATAAATGGATTTTTAATGTACTGAATTGGAAAAATTGAGTACTTTCCACATTACGTAGGGTTACATCATCAATAGGGCTTACCAAGGGATTTGAACACGGTTGTCTTGTCTCTGAGGGCAGGTTTTATCCCGTTAATAACATCTCCGAGCTCTGCAAACACCTCCGCCTGGAAACGAGATCCACAATCGTATTATTTTCTACACATATTCTGCAAAGGGAGCCAGTAACGCGCACCTCGGTCATCTTATCGAGCCGGTCAGGAAACACAGTAACAGACCGACCCCAGAGAGGATGATGTCACCGGACTCGGCCATCGCTCCCTCTCTGCTGTCAGTGTACACCACCGCCTCCTTCATCAACACGTCATCCAGCTCCCGCCAGTTTGGCCTGCAGGCTCCCACCGCTGCTCAGCAACAGCAGAGAAACACAGTGGGAAACAATTCACAGTATGTTCCTTAGTGCATCAGCCTTGATATCAAATACGTTAAAATCTGACTGATTTCCAGGGTTCAGATCTGAAAAATCTCACGTCTTTAATTTAATTTGTGTCGATTAATTCCTCTCACCGGCCACATGGGCTCCTGGTTTGACCCACTGACCAAAGAGTACTGGTTCTGTACATCTGGTTACTGTCACTATGGCGTCCGCTCCCCTCACGGCCTCCTCCACTGAGGCACATACCGTCACCGGACCGCTGACAGACCGGCAAAACCCCTCGGCGCTCTGTCTTGTGCGGCTCCACACACGTATCTGTGGCGTATAGTATGAAAAACCAAACATTATATGTTTCTCAAACAGTCACAAGACTAATTTTAAGTAGCAATCGATGAAAGAGAGTCAAGAATTAGGCCAGAACTGTGAGCATGATAAGCCTACACAGGGACACAGTTTGTTTAATTTTGTGTTTTTTACAGAAATATTTGCTTTCTTGCCAAGAAGTAGATGAGAAGATTGATACCTTTAAGGTAAATTAAGCTAAAGTAGAAAATCTTAAGGTTTTTGTGTATATTGGGACAGTCTTTTTGTCCACAGTTGTACCCTCTGTTCTATATTACAATATACAAACTGTTTGGTTCCTGACTTGTTGTGTTAGGAAACCTTGTGCTTATCAAACATTGCCATAAACCGATAAATGCTGGCTTTGTGTTCATACATTTACAAGATATTTTTGTAAACGTACCTCTTTGAATGAAAACATTTCTGTGAAGACATTGTAATGACTCAGAGCCTGTAGGCCACTCCCCAAGATGGTCAGCACCTCTGCTTCAGGACGCATCAGCAGCTGCGTGACAAAGACACACCAGGACAGACCCAAGTTAGAACAGCAGTGCAGGTTAGAGAGCAGGGCCAAATTTTTTCCTTAAAAGCAGTGAATCTTTCAGTTTTTAAAATAACTTCAACTTTCTGTTGGAGAAAAGAGAGGCTCATCACTTAGTTTGACACTGGCCTTAAAATGAACAGCAAGTAACTCACTATCACTGTTCTCCCTTTATATTTAAGGAGCACTACAAATGTTCTCCTACAAGAAAAACCTTAAAAAAGCCCACAGTTAAAACGTACACACAGAGAGTCGTTGCTATGGAGACGATACACTGTCTCATCTGGCTGCATTGGTGTGAACTGGCAGGTTTACAGAAAGTTGCAGACCAGCACATTGCAAGTAGTTACAAGTTTCAACTAGTCTCATTGTAAAACTTTGGTCTGAACTTAAAGTTGTAGCAGATTTGCAACATTAATTCTGTGAACAAAAATAGGTTTCAAAATTAGTAATGCTGTTTACGACCAATTCCTACCTATGTAACTATTTTTACCTCCTTTCAGGTTTGTTATGATTTCAGAATGAGATACAAAATAGGATGTGGATATTTTTTCCATGGGCTATAACTATCATGTTTCTCCCAAATGATGTACAGATTTTCAGGTATCTGATTATCTTAACTGGCTCAAAAAATAATGAAAATAGCTGCCATAAATATGGGGAGAAAAGCTATTTTACATCATCCGGCTCCTGAAACAGGGAGTGTGAATGGACCTCCAGGGTGCTAAATCCTAGCCCTTTCACCATTACAACTTTCAGCATGATATTACCTTTTTTTTTTCACCCCTGCCCCTCAAACAACTTGAGTCTGCCACTGAAACAGATGTTTAATCCATGTTTAAGTACCTTAGCAGAGATGGCCGAGACTGCCGCTGTCCTCATGCCTGTGATGACTTCTCCATCCATGACCTGCAGGTTGGAAACATGTCATGAATTGGCCTGTGTGGGTGCAGTGCAGTGCCAGAGTTCATCTGTGCATGCATTAGTCTCACTCACAGCCTTTACATTCCCATACTCTGGATCCAGCAGCATCACTGTGGCTTTTGTGGCTGGCAAAGTTGAACCGTCCTCCCTCTTGTAGAAACACACAAACTTTGTGCACAGGACTCCGTCGTTCTCCATGTATGTAGGCATCACTCCCAGGAAGCTGTAAGAGCGAAGGAGCGTGTGCCAAACCGCAGTGAAGTTAGTTTGGGCTCTTACGCACAGGGTTCATTTAGGATTCATCAATGAATCACTGAAAAATAAGAAGTTTCTTTTCTATGGCTTCCCTGTCATGTGACCAAAATCAATGCCGAATTATAAAACTACACTACTAAACTGGGACACACCTCTTTGAATCCCTTTTCTATTGGATCTTCTTTTTTATTTTAATATTTATATGGAAAAATCTTGATTTTTTGAATCAATAGTGTCCATGTCATGTGACCAAACCACTAAAAATCTATGCCGAAATATATTACTACACTCCACAAGTAGGACACACCTCCTTGTATCACTGTTCAATGTTTCCTATATTTTATATAAATATTTGTATGGAAAATTTAAAATATATATTATTATTACGGACGGAGGTGAAGGGAGCCAACCGCCCTTTGCCAAAACTGTCTCCAACCGAGGACGTGGCTGGATCCGGAGTGAATATCTGTCGAGTGTCCACCTTAAAACTAACTTCACCTCGGTGTCAGACGGCAATAAACAGATTGTTAATGTTTCATGATGATTACTACAGTTGTAGTCCAGTGCAGGCCTACCCGCTGTGTTTCTGAAGGGGCACCGTGGTGCGCACAGGCTGGATCACCTCCGCGCTGTCCCGCCTGGAGAACTTCCCCAAAGCTTGCTCCAGACGGGGGATCAGCTCTCTGTACTGCAACAGCTGCTCCACCTCATTCTTCCATATGATAACAGGGGGTCCAGCCATTATGACTTCTGCGGTTCTCATGTGTAACTGGAGTTTTATGATTGGTCTAAAGTCCGAGTCGCTGACTGTGAGTCCGAGGTGCATTCAAGAGCCACAGTAAGGCTCTTAAGACACTGTTGGTTAAAGGAGAGGGCTGCATAGACATGAGAGAGTGGTTTCTACCTGATAGTAGAATTTAAATAAATACATTTTTAAAGGATGGATGCAGTTTGAATAGATGGACATGGTATACATTTAAAACTTTAAGAACACATTAGAGTAACCAAAAAGTTTTTTATATACTGGGTGGTATTAAAGTCGAGCAGTGTTGGAATAAAAATGACTACAAGTAAAAAGTATTATAAAGAAAATAACTAATTCTAAGAATTAGAAATAATTACAATTGCCCCCTCTCAGTGTTATATAGACTATATTTATGCAGCACAGTGTATACACTTTTGAGGGACTTTAGTTACAACTTTACAGATTTTACTTAAAAAACATGTAATAAGCTATACAACATAAATCACTGCTAAAGATTAAACTAGTGGTTCTAAACATCTTACCAAAAAAACAACAACGTACAAAACAGCACCTAGCTGGGGCCTTTTGTCTGATGGGTTTATTTTAAAAACTGTTTGAGATCCTAAGAGGTAAATGTGTGCAGCATTTCACAATAGGCCTTATTTCAAAAGCAAAGATTTGAGGAGAATAAAAACAATGTATATACACCGATCAGCCATAACATTATGACCACTGACACTGAAGTGAATAACACTGATTATCTGGTTATCATGGCTCCTGTTAGTGGGTGGGAAATATCAAGCAGCAAGTGAACATTTTGTCCTCAAGTTGATGTGTTAGAAGCAGGAAAAATGGGAGCGTAAGGATTTGAGCGACTTTGAAAAGGGTGAAATTGTGATGGCTAGACGACTGGGTCAGAGCATCAGTACCTATCAAAAATGGTCCAAGGAAGGAAAAACAGTGAACCAGAGACACGGTCATTGATGCACGTGGGGAGTG